CGTTGTCGACGACTTACGCCGAGATAGTGAAAGGCTTCAACTCCCGCTCGAGCTCGGTCAGCTCCCGGCAGCCTAGTGCACAGAGAGTGCCCCACGAGCCCCCTCACACTCCCGCCGAAGAGGAATACATCTCAAGTGAAACATGTGCACCAGTGTGTATCGAAAGTGATGTGGCCGATGAGCCCAGTGATCTATACAGTGAGACTGTTGACGCAAGTGAAAGTGATGCGTACATGTCTGAATCTATTATTTATATCCAACCGGAGGAAAAACAATGGACTGCTGAAGTATCGATAGAAAATCAGAACTATCAAGAACAAGAGATTTGCGAAAGCGAAATATCTGAACAGATAGAGCAAGCTCCTATTCATGCGGAATTACGTCCGCCTGAACATCACGACAGATCACTTAGTCCCGCGACCAAGTTGCGGACACAAGATTTATCTTATGCAGAAATTCTTGCATTAGGTCTTCGGAAACAGGCAAAAACCCAAAATATTGTATCATTACCTGAGCCACAAGTAGCACAGGTGGAAATGGTTAAAGAAATAATTGTAGAGGTGGAAAAGGCTCCCCCTGTAATAGAATATGAACCCAGAGTTCAGTCAACAGAATCGTTGCGAGTCAAAACGGACAAGTTTGAAAGACCTGCTCAGCGTAGTCGGTCTAGAGATATGCCAAGACAGAGACGTGCTCCTGAAAAGCGGTCCACTAAATCCCACGATACCCAAATTATTAAAAAGAAAAAACTTTCAAAGAGAGTTATTGAAGTTGAGGACTTTGATGACACTCCAGAACAACAAGATTCTTCAAGATTAGATTCCCTTCCCCTTGACAGTAACATACAAACATCTATTCAAACAATTGATAAACTAAGTACAGAAACAAGCTGTAAGGAGTTGGTTAAAAAAGTTCAGCATAGTGCAACTGTTGTTGAAACGGTAACCGTTGAAAGTATACTTGACCTTACTAAATCTGAAAATGACCAGAAAAAAGCTAAAAAGAAAAATAAACATAAAAAGCCAAAAGACGCCGATGACGAAATTGAGAAAGCCCTTAAAGAAATAGAAGAATCAGATAAACAGAAAAAAAGAAAAACTAAAGATAGTCGTGATAAAAGTAAAGAAAAAATGACAAAGGGCACAGAATCAGATGAAGCGATAGATAAAAACGATGGTAAAATGAAGCAATTAGCCTCAAAATTAGATAACAAAGAAATCACTATTAAACAAAAGAAAAAGAAAATTGTTACAAAGGAACTACAAACCTCTGAAATAACTGAACCATCTTCTGTTGCACAACAAAAGTCAATTAAAAAAACAATCACAGAAAATGTAAACGTAGAAATAGAAAGAGGCAATTCTAGTAAAGATGATGATTCTGGTGGTAGTTCATGGGAATCAAACCTAGAAGACCTATCTGCTAATGTTTTAAAATATCCTGAAGCCTCTGATGACACAAATCAAACGATTATGGAAGAGAGTAAGTGTTATGAGCATGATCAGGTTAATAAATCAACAAACCTTCAAGATGAAGACAAACAAGAAGTAATACAACACTTGATTCGTAACGTTGAGGAATCCAATGTTAATACGGAGACTTTATCTTTGACAAAAGACAGTAGTGTTAAAAACATTAACCTGTCTACAGAACCAGAATTAGAGATAGCGTCCAAGCAAAAGAAGAAAAAGAAAAACAAAAAGCAAGGAAAGGCCGTGGAAGAGATAAATGTCGATCAAACTATAATAGCAGCTGTAGACAAAACAGTTGAAGAAAACGTACAACCCATTGGCACTACAGCTCAAGAAATATCTCATGTCCAAAAGAAGGCTGAAAAATCTAAAAAATCGAACAAAACAGACGAAAAAGCTAATGTCACTGATGTTACTTTAGCACAGGTTAACATTCTAGATGTAACAGATACTAGTAAGAAACCAAAATCTAAGAAACAGAAATCCATTGAAATTAAAGATTCTTCTACCCAGCAGACTATTTCTAACCCATTAAGTACAAATGCTGAAGAGAAAACAAGGTTTGAAACCTCTGGTGAAGTAGAATCTACTGACGCAAAAACGCACAAAAAGAAATCAAAAAGCAAGAAACCTAAAATTGTTGATGACGAAATAGAACAAGCTTTGCGAGAGATTGATCAAACAATAAGTGCTAAAAAGAAAACAATCGAAAAGTATGAAAAGATAAAAGATAAGCACCGAGAAACAAGACAAGAAGCTGTCAAAACAGAAAGTTTTAAAATTATGCGCGAAACTGATAGTTTAAAAGTTGAAGATTCGAATATAATTTCAGGTGATCAGGAAGTCAAGAGTACACTTGTAACTATGGATTGGAATACTTTGATGGCTGAAGAGGAAGACATTCCTGAATCAGAACTAGCACCCATCACTCAACCTAGTATCGAGACTGACTTGTCCCTCGAAAGTGAACAAATTGCAACTGAAGTTACTATACTTCCCGAAATTATTGATGCAACAAATATAGAAGCTGAAATAAAAGAGTGCTTGGAGAAGGAAATATCTGAAACAACTCAAAGTATTATCGATCCTGACAGTAATTCTAATGAGCAGAATAATAATAAAACGTTAAGAACTGATAACTTAATAGACAGCTCGTTCAATATAGTAGAGGAAATAACTCGATACGAACCTATTATACAAGATATGGAAACACGCACTATTTACCTAATAACACACGAAGAGAAAAAGTTACCGCCTATAAGAACAGTGAAAGTATTTAATTCCAAGATAAACTCTTCGAGTATTGATTCTCAAGATGAAAATGTCACCGAAATTAAAACTGCAACCGTAACTTCGCAAGAAAATAATGAAAACATCTTAGGAGAACCCCTAATTTCGTCTGATTTAATCACAGAATCTTTATCAGAGGATTTGAAATCGGTTGTAGACAATCAGCATACAGACGTTGTTATTGAAGAACAATCGCTGAATACAAAAACGGAGTCTGTTCCAAAACTAGATTCTGAAGAAGCAAGAGACAAAGACATAACTTATTTAGCTGATAATGATTATAAAGAAATTATCGTCGACGATAAAAATCAGAGCAACGTTGAGGAATACCAATGCTCTAACGTTGAAGAGTTCTCAGAAAACATACTTGAACATGCTATATTTGGATCCGTACAAGACCGCCAAAGAGGACAATTAAATACGAGTACCATTCCGTATCAAGAATTAGAAGAGATAAAAACGTATTCCATAAATCTTGACATTGATCGACTGGACTTCGACTACTATCAATTATTGGATAAGCAAAGTAATTCATCTTCCAAATGTGAACCGGAATATGAAAATACACAAATCGCAGAACAAGATCAGGCAGATGGTGAAATTGTTCAAAAGGCCGCAGTAAGCCTATCTTTTTCTGACATAACTGAACATTCTGGGTTTAAAGAAGCTCAGTTGAAATGTGATGAAGTAAAGTCTGTAGATAATTCATTTACATCTATTCCTGAGAAATCTGAGGACATATATCCTGAAGGAGAGAACTCAAACGATGTAAAATCAGTACTTGACAATGAAGCAACTGTTACAACTTCTTCTCAGGATACACTTAAGAAAACAGATTTTAAAAATCGTGCAGAAACGAATGTCATTCAGATACCACCTACTACATACTTGGAAATTGTACTTGATACACAAAGTATTCAAACAGCAACATCTAGTTTAGAAAATAATCAGAAATGTACAGATGTCACTTCAACTTTGGAAGTTGATAATAATGGAATAATACCTAATAAACTTGAAATTATAGAATTTAATAAAGAAAATGATGTTCTAAAATCAAAAGATATTATGAACATTGAAGCTGTTGATACTACTGGTGTACTGTTTGTGCTCGAGAACGAAATTCCACGTTTTGATTATCGAGAAATAACTGACGCTGAAAAATTCTTAGGAATTATTTGTCCCAAAGAAACGATGCCAGTACCTAAACCAAGTGTAACAAATGAAGATGTTAAACAACCGGAAGTGCATGAAACAAGCATTTTAGAAAAAGTAACTAATGAATCAAACATTTTGATTGAGACCGTACCCAAAGAAATTCTACCAGAATTTACAAAAAGCCATGACTCTGAAGAAAATTCCATTTATTTATCAATGAAAAGATTTAATGAAGAGTTTTCGTTTCACTGTATTTATCACTGTATTGCCGACGCTGAAAAGATTTATCCCCGTCTTGTAAACTTGTATGAACAAGAACAACAAAACGGCTCATCTTGTGACGTAAATATTGATACGATTGAAAACACTCAAGTTTTAACCGACATTGACACAGTCGAGGAAAGCAAGACGGTAGCTGAAGCAGACATTATAAATATTACTAAAAACCCCTCAGATACGAACGATGAAGGAAACACTACATTAGTTAGTGAAAACTTATTAGAAAATAAACCAAATGAAATTGATGTAATACATTTTGAAAAGCCCAAATATGACTATCATGAACTGTCTAAATCTGAAATACTTTTAGCTTCTATTTTATCTAGAGAAAATAATAAAAACGATCGTTCCATGGATGAATCGCATCATAATCAAATAAACATTTCAACAGACGAGAAACTTTCAGTGCCGTTAGAGAATGGTAATAAAAATGAAGAAATACATTCGCAAGATTTGAATCCAGTTGATAACAAAGAAACGACAGTAAACAAAACATTCGTGCAAGATTATCATGTCATTCATGACGCAGAAAACAGATACGCGTTAAACCTAAGTGAATCAACTGTTGATACGGAACCGGCCTCTCTCGTTAAAGACACACTAGAACTCATTCAGATATCTGAAAGTGAAGAGGTGCGGACTCAAACGTTACCTCAAAATTTAAATGATAATTCTTTACAGCCAAATTCTGAAGAATCTCACAAAGAGGAAGAATCAAAGTCCCAAAGTGTTGCTAAAGTTCCTAAGAAAACCCCAAATATACATAGTCCAGAGCCACAAACAGTTTTTTATGAACCAATTATTTACAATTATAGTGACTTAAAAGAAGCTGAGCATGTATTTGCGCAAAATATTGCGTGTATGCTTTCTAATAACGAAAATACGATAGATTCCGTTATTAATACTGATACCATTGAAAATCCACCAGAAAAAAGCGATGCTATATGCGTTACAAATAAATTCGATGGCAAAGATGACAACGATCTTAACAATGAAGAGAAAGCAGAAGTTTTCACAGATGTTGATAGTAGGAAAAATGAACAAACGACTACAGTTGAGATACAAGACTTTAATACTCTTGTGCCTGCGGTATTTGGTGATGTTGCAATGGTCGCTACATCTATTTTGGAAAGAGAAGCGAAGAAGAAGCAAGAAGAAGCTAGGAAACAAGAAGTTAATGAACAAAATGTAGAATGCACCGTCCAAAACCAAATAGAACAAGTTGAATCTCCAATAAAAGAGAATATAGAAGAAGATTTTGTCGTGGTAGAGAATTTACATCTTAATTTACCAGAATTAGAAATATCTGTAGAAAAAGCGGAAGATTCAGGTCAGGAATCCAATCCAAATCTTGGTGACGAGCTTGATTTCGAACACTCGTTCGAAGTTATTGACCTTGAAAAGGATGTGTCATTTGAATTACAAGAACCCACAGAAATTAACAGTAATTTTGAAAAGGTTCTAACAGTTGAACCACCAACACCAGCTGCTGGTATTAGTCCTTCTTCAATAGATAATGTTGATGTTTCCTCTTCGACGGAACTTCTATCGGAATTTAAAAAAGACGAAGTCCATCATACAGAAGGGATATCAGAAATATCGAAATGTGAATTCGTGCCTCAAACTATCTCGGCGAAATTTATCGAAGCGGAAATCGTTCATTCTGTTTGTTCCCCAACCTTAAGTACTGATACGCAACAACAGGTTAGCAACGTTATGAGTACGGAACCCGACGTACTAATTGATAAGTCTATAGGTCACGAAATAGATTCAAAACAATCTACTCGATCCAAAACTGAAACTAGTAGCCGTCCTGAAAAATCTCCTATTCACAATTTACATGATCTACTTCCAGAAATCGATTCCATACCTGAATTTAAACCTTCCTTCTCGACTACAGTTCTTAATTCAAAGCTTTCTGCTGATGCCCCTGAATTTACACCTTCCTATTTGTACAAAACATTTGACCTAACAATATCTGATTGTAAACAAGTAAATACGCAAATATCTAATATCGATGAACGAGTATCTTTACAAACAGATTTACATAAAACTAACGCTACACCCATAACATATTCTTCAATTTTATCTTCTAAGAAAGAACAAGAAATACCTGATATTAATATAAAACAAAAGGAAAGTGAAATGTTATATGACGTTAAAAGGAGTGAGGAGTCTACCGAAGATAAGTTGGAGCCAAAATCGAAACGTAACAAAAAACAAAAGCAAAAAGATAATAAAAAGGAGGTAACTGCTATTAAAGACGAAACGTCAACAATTGTAACATCTGTTGACGAAGTTTCTTCCGTGCCCATTCATGAGGAACAAAAACAAAAATCAGATTCGGATCAAAAAGAAAACATTTGGACTAAATTATCAGATGATGGTAAATCTTATGCTGAAGTCTTAGCTGAAGGTTTAGTTGTACAAGAAATTTCACCAATCCATGTTGTCGAAAACCAAGAAGTACAATCCACAACAGAATCTATTTTAGAAGAAAAAACAGAATCTCCTGTTACTGAAGCACTTCGATGCGTCGAATATGATAATCAGGAATCTCATGACTCATGGGCGAAAATAGTTGCTTCGAATCGACCATCGCCTGAAAAGATTCAAAAACTTACATCACCGAATGAACCAATACAATCAAAATCTAAAACTCCCATTATTTTAGTTGATGAATCCGACTCGGAACATAATAAACCTGACTTAGAAGTAGATGCAGAAGGATTTATAAAAGTTGACAGGAACAGACGTTCGAGATCTAAGTCTAGAGATAACCGCTCCAGTTCTGCTAACAGGACAATGCGACAAACTGATGTCCGTGAAAAATCTGAAAATAGGTTTAATGCTCTAACAAGCACTTTAAAACCAGACGATGGAGAAACAGTGCAAAGTAGTCATTCTGACGAAGAAAAAGAACCTATAAAGAAAGGGAGAAAGAGCCGTTCGACGAAATCTAAAGAAAAAGAAGTAAAGACAAAAGTAGCACAGATAGCACCCAGTACTTCCGATGAAGAAAAACAGCCTGTGAAGAAGGATAAAAAGAAGAGATCTTCAAAATCCAAGGAGAAGGTAAATAAACCGTTAGATGTATCCGAAAATTCCGAAACGTTACAGGAAATTATAGAAGTAGAGCCAATAGACGTTCAACAAAAAGAAGACCTTTCAGTTCAGGGTCCACAAGTATCGACCTTAGAGATTAAAAAGAAATCCAAAAAGAAAAAGAAGGAGAAGAAAGTAATTGTAGATACGACTGATACTCCATCCCCGGTTGATATTACTTCCTCGGAAGTAGAATCTTCAGAACCAACATACACGGTACCATTAAAATCTGTTGAAACTCCAATTTCAACACCAGAATCAATTGAAACTCCTATTAAAGACAGGTTTTATGCTGAAGCCCAATACTGGAAAGTAGATCCTAGCGCCGTAGATGACCTTACTAGTATATCCGAGATTTTGACAGTCAAAATTGACTATGCTGATAATAATAAACAAGAAAATATTGTAATTGAAGTACAACAGGCTCCAGAAAGTGCAAATGTTGAAACCACAAAAATTAACAACGAAAAATTGGAAGGGGAGGTTATATCAAAAGAAATGGACACAGAAGCTTTAAGTCCACTTGATTTACCAAAAACAATTGAATCACAGAGAATATCCGATGAACAGTCGTTGGAAAGTAAAATGGCTGATTTACAAAGAGAAATAGAAGAAATGTTACTTCCTGAAAACGATGCATCCTTAGCAAGTGATATTACACCTAAAGAACTAACAGATATGCAAACCTCATTAGATGAACAACCAGACGAAATACTTGAAAACATCACGCCCTCGCTGGCATCGCCTGAACCTGAAGATAGTTCAGAAACTCAGATTCCTCAAAAGGCCACAGAGAATGAAGAAAAATCTGTTTTAGACATAAAAACGATTCCAGATAGTAAGATAGATCCAGAAAATTTGAAACAAGATATTCAAGTAAACAAGAGTGAGCCTTCTAACATCACGTCACTAATTTTAGTCGAAACTCCTGAACAAATTCTAAATAAGGGGCATGTCGAAGGTGTAAATTCCACAATAACTAACACTTCATTTACACCATCTACTAACAATCTCATAGATATACAACAAGACAATTTCTGGAAGGAAAAAGCATTAGTAGACGATGCGGAAAAACTGCTTGTTGAACAAATTTTACCTAAATTAGACAATTTTGCTTCTTCTCCACTAAAATCTGACACCAATCGTGAATACACCATCGAATCGAAACAAACTCTCCCTAACGATTCCGATATTCTCTCTAATGGTTTTATAGAAGCGCCTTTTTGGCCTGAGAAGCATTTATATCACGACGCCGAATGCGAATATTTCTTACAAATGGCAAAGAAACATAAACATCAGATTAACATAAATACTGAAGTAAAAAATACGGACAAAAAAGACAAAGATAAAGATCCTAGTGGTGGTTCAGGTCACTCTTCTGAATCTGAACAACCACGCGAATCAAGCGGCTCTCCGTTCGATTCCAACTATTTATCGATGGATCTTCCAGGCGGTATTTGCAGCTGGAAAGATCATAGTTCTTATTTGAGTTTGGAAACACCTTCTGATTCACTGACGGGCTTGATAAGTGAGGATACTTCTAAATTAGTTTCCGACATCCCAGAGGATAAACTAACCACCCTATCCCTAGCGCCAGTTGCCCTTCTCCCCCCCGAGCAGGAGTCGCCGCCGCAGGAACATGAGAACCGGACCACAGCCAAGGTGATCGATCAACACTCGTATTGTACTCTTTTACAATATTTATTTTATGTTTGGCATGAATTTATAACGATTTGTCTTATCACAATTATTACAAGAATTATTGTTGTAAATCGTCGTCGTCTGCAGAATTCGCCGTTCGTCTTGTAGAGCCAACTGTTGGCGGACATCTCTTCTCACTAAACACGTTTAGCGTAGTTGTAGGAATTGATAGTTTTTTGTGCAATTTATTTCAATCTAGTCATTGTCTAGTCACTCAATACTAATGAAATTTCTCGAGTCAATTTTTATTGTAATAAAATAAATGTATGTTTAAACATTGTTTTATTTTAATTCAAATCGCATAACAAACCCTGTGAAAATTGAACACCAAGATTTGGCTACTACGAGACGATCGACGAAATTGTTGCTTTAAATGGATTTATTTTTAGATGTTTATTTTTGGCTTACTTTTTATACAATAATGGGGAGGACTACACATTCTTGTTATCGACGTATTTAAACTTCATAATGAGGTTGGTCAATCGACATGTTTTGAACCCCTGTAATTCTTTATGTTGACCTGTGTAGGTGCAATACCTTCCCTTGTTTCCAATTCAATTGATTATATTTTTATTTGCGTATTTGTTTGAGTTTATGGTTTTAGGCATTCATTTAAAAAATGCTTGGCAACACGTCTTACACGACCACAGCTTAGAACACGCCAAACTAATGCTAACAAAATCTTTTCGATACCAATTTTTTTACTTTTCAAGTATATTTATATGATGTCCTTTAAAGAATTAAGTAAAATTTGGCCGATATTTATCTTAATTTTTGTTAATCTGTTTAAAATATAACGCTGTGTTTTTGCATATTGCCAATCGTACCATAAAACACGAGCATATCCCTCACTCGAATGGCTTTAGGTTTTTACCATGTTTAAGACAATCCGGATAAGCATGTCATGCCAACATTGACATTTTTAAGCTATTAATAAGTTTGCGTTGTTTATTGTGTTGCTAACTATAACCGGCGTATGCAACTCAAAATCCTGTTACGGGCTTTGTAATATATAGTGCTGTAAGAGTTGTTTTTATCATTTAGAAACAAAGCTAATCATGAATTTTGAGTTGAATCCATTCCGGCATCTGGTCCTTTGCATCTGAATGTTGTTACGGACTATTTTCCCCTGCTAGGATACAATGACGTGGAATTTTAAACTTTACTTTTCTTTACCCTATTATAGTTGACATTTAGAGCCTCGGGAACAGTAGTACTGTTCTTTTTTTATTATTTTCTTTTCTCTTATCTGTTATATCAAGATGATTTAAAATTCCATGTCTGCGGCTAAATGTAGTGCATTTTGACTTATACAGTTGTGTGTTTTTAGGATAACTTGTCTAATAATCTTGAGACACTCCTCGAGGAAGTGAGAATCGTTCAAAGTCAACTATCAGATCTGCCGAATGAAACACTAGACGCGATGGAAGCAGGTCTCAAGGTAAATATACTTCCTAATAATTCCTACATAAAGTTCATTGGCCTTCCATAGTTTCATTGAGTGTTTTAAATTAATTACTACTCTTAGATCGTCATTTATCAAACCGTGGGTTGGCTTCTATCCTTAGCTGTCTCATGTCTTTCAGAAGTAATGAAAGAGATGTGAAAAGTATTAAAAAAACCAACGGTTATGTCAGACATGTAATTCATTACAGCTAACAACTTGAGATCGTTCGCACAACGTAACGCCTCAGTTTAGACAAAACTAGAATATCTATGACTAGCTGTTGCTCGCGATTTCGCCCGCTTGAAATTACAAAATATAAGTTATGTTACTCACTGAAAATGTATCTTTTTAATAGTGAAAGAAATTTTGATATCGGCCTAGTAGTTTCAGTTATTTCAATGCATACAGAAATACAAATCTTTCCTCTTTATAATATTAGTATAGATACAGTCTTGGTCGTATACTGACATTGGTCGTTTTAATATTTATTAGTTCTTAGAAACAATTGCATGAATAGAAGTGAACTATGATATCAGAATTATTTTTATTCATGACGTGTGTGACGTCATTTATATTTTAGTATATTACGTATTTGTAATTTGTTTTGGCAAAGTTGGCTTTGAGATATATTTCATTCGTCTTTAAAACTAGGTCACTACTATTTACATTTTGAGACCGAGAGAAATGTTACTTGGCAACCAATGTTTTATTTAGACCTGATAATGGATTTTTGTATGAAGAAAAAGAATAACAAACTTAATACTGTTAATATTTTAAAGGCATGTTTCGATAGGATCTTTTAATCAGATGCGCTTAGTTATCCAATCTAGCTGTACTTACTTTGCTTAGATTTCTTATACGGCTAGCTATGCATACTTTCTCAGGATTCGCACTTATAGTCCAGAATTAAACATTCCTTAATATCTACTTTCCGAGCAAGAGGCTTAGGCATTTTCTTCTATTTTTATGAAAATAATTCACAAAGTTTTCACTTATAATCGACCTTTCTTTAACCTAGAATAATTAATGAGCATATTGTGAGTCATTTATTTAAGTTATCTGTTTATATTGGCTATAGCAGATGATGAATTTTACTAGACAATGATGTCATGCACTTGCGGTTACGAAATCCCGTGTTAATAATAAACCACATTTGTTTGGCATCTCTCTGTTTGTGCTAACGTCTGCGAAGTCAACCGGCATATACGAACGAATACGAAATCGAAAGACTTAGCGATTTTTGTGGTTATTTCAATTGTTTTTTTCTCTCATTTGACTTTTTGTGTGTGTCTTCTGAAAATCAAAGGTTAGTTGTTAGGTTTAGTGTTTGTGAAGTTTTATTGTTGATTTTTTTTTAGGGGTATTACTTGATTAAATGTTTACGAACTCGTGCGCGTTTTCCTCATTAAAAAACCTATGTCTTTATTAAAATTTATTGGATTATTTATTTAGATTGCTCTATTTATTTATAATCTTCGCGTATGGATAAATTGGTGTTGTTATTTTTTAAAGTTTTAATCAAATAATTGATATTAAAATGCCATGATTAAACGGAATGGTAACGAAATCATAACATTTTAAAAACATTAAAAACGTGTGAAAATATATTAAATACTTTACAGTGTTACACTTATTTTAAATTTGAAAAACATGTTCTTTGATTTTCAGGAGGGTATAGCAGTTCTAGTCAAGTGTGAAGAAGCAGCAGTTCTTCTGGAACAGAAGATAATGGAATACGGACATGAATCAGAAGTTCAGACATTACTTAAAGAACTGATCATAATGAAAGCAAGGATCAGCAAGTTATTAGAGCAAGCGCGGCAAGGCCTTCACACCATCAAGGTAAGAAAGGTAATTGTATTGTTTTTTTTTTTGTTTTTACCGTAGATAGCAGTGTGTTAACATTAGTCTGATTGTTTTAAAAAAACTTTAATGTTTGGATTTCAGGATGCGAAAATTGATATGGAAAATCAATCTAAGCAAATTGAAGAGCAGAAGGAACAAATAGCTAAATTGGACAATTGGCTAGATGCAATAAATACAGAGCTTAAAGTGTCCACGAAACAAACCGAAGTACTCACTGAAGAAGATATTATTAGATATATAGAAATTTATGAACGTTATATCAGACAATACGAGGAATATGAAATTATTCTAAGATCTATAACTGTGATAAGTGTTGATGAATCTAGTCAATCGATGCAAATTAAATTAAATGCATTGAAGAAAACATTGGAGGAATCGCGAGTTCTAGTCATTGCGGAGATAGAGAGATTGAGACAAATATTGATAAATATCAAATATACGGCTGATGTGGAGGAAGAAGTTTCACAAACAGACCGAACAATTGATTCCACTTCAATGCCGGAGGAAGTTGTTTCTCAAAAGATCATAGAGACTGTCGAAGTTGTACCAAGTGTAGCTGTTAAAACTGTTCCTGAAGACGATACTCAATTTGAATACGAAAAGGAGGGTGAAACAGTAGAGGAAATAAAATCTCCCAAGATTGTTGAATCTAAAATAACGACAACAATAGAAACTCAAACTGGAAAAAGTCTTATTTCCGAAGCTCCGTCTCTACACGATAAGTCGGTTATCTGTCAACCAGAAATAATAGAAACTCAGGATGTGTCCATAACTTGTGCGCCACCACAAGAGGTCGAAGTACAAACAAGCGAACAAAAGTCAGTAGACGGTGAAGTGCTTGAGAATATTCAAGTTAAACAAACTACATCAGATGGCCATGAAACTATTATAATCTCAAGTCGACCTGTAGTCAGAGAAAAAGCAATTGACGAAACTTCACTACTAGTCGATGCTGACTACGAGGGTGATTATCAAAATAAAAATACTGAATTGAATATAACTCATAGTTTACCTCAATCATTTGAAACCGTAATGGTGGAACCCGATGAAACAACGACAGAAGTGGTAGTGGACGCAGATGGTACAAAGAGAATAATTGTTAGAAAAGTGAGAAAAACATTAGTCACAAGGCAACAAATATTGCACACGCAGGAACGTTCCTCGCACGTATTGGACCCTGATGGTCATCGAGATCACACGTACCAACAAATAACACTTAAACAAGATCAAGGTTCTACTCAAACTTTCGATGATGGTGGAATCCAAAACGTACAATATCAAACATATGACGGTCAAGTCATCACAGGACTTCCTGGACGAGAAATGACGATTCAAGAATTCACATCCAAACCAGAAATGATAATCTCTATGGGGCAAGATATGAACCCAGACCAAATTCTTCAAATAGCAGAAGGTAACATTCAACCGGAAATTCAGACATCATCTTCGAGCGTTACTGCTGTCGTTGAACAAGTCACGAAACGAATTATCAAAACCAGACGTCGTATTATTCGCCGTATCGTTATTATCGATGGTAAAGAGCACGTCTCTGAGGAAATTATTGAAGAACCCGACGATGTCGAAGTTTCAGAAGAACAAATACCAAGAGTATCAATTAACATCAATGATAGAAATGTACCTATTGACAGAGACGATAAAGATGATGATGATAATAAACCTCCACCTGACGATCGTGATACGAATCAAGAGGATAAGAAAGTCAGTAACATCCCAGAAGATAAGAATAAACAAGTAGATAAACAGGAAGATTCAAATGAGGACGCTGTTAAAAAGAGTCGCGACTTAAAAGAAGACAAAGATGATGCAATATCAGAACATGATAGCAATGTCCAAGAACACGAATTAAGATCTAGTCAGTTGTTGTTATCCGGTAATGAAGTTACACAATTGGAGACATCATCGTCTCATTTTGCTACCCTTACTCAGAAAGTAACGAGAACAGTAACAAGAACAAGGAAAAGAATAATCAAACACATTCAAATTATCGATGGAAAAGAACATGTGACGGAAGAAGTGATAGAAGAACCCGCTGATGTAGAAATTGTAGAGCTTGAGCCCGAAGAGACTCGTGTATCTCTTGATGAGGGCACTAAAATGAAAAGAATAAAAATTGTTAGACAAGTACAAATTATCGACGGCAAAGAACATGTTACAGAAAAAGTAATTGAAGAAGATGATGACGATGCGTATGAGCCAGAGATAATAGCGGCATCAGATGTAGAGCCGTCTTACCCTCAAGAATATATCGTAACCGAAACAGAACAACCTCAATTTACAACAGCAGATAATAAATGGGATAATGTTGCAGATTTAACGTCTAATTTAATAGCTAGTGAAATTAATCATAGTTTGATATCTGAACAAAAAGGTGAAAGGGAGGTAGTTAAAGAAACAGTGGATGACAAAAAGAAAGACTTACCTAGGACAAAGGAACTTACGGATACAAATGAATCTACTACTAAACCAGAAGTTATTGAAGAGGTTGATAAAAATTTACAAAAAGTTACTTTACCATATTCACCAACAGAAATTACACAAAAAGAATCTTATGAACCAGATCATAGCGTTGTAAAAGACGCACTACTCAAAACTGTTGAAGTAACTTCATCAGACAACAATACTCATGGCACAATCTTAAAAGAACAGACAGAAGTTACAATGATTTCCCAAATGCCTACTATTACCTATGATATTGATAGTCAAACGAAAATAGACACTCATGATTTTCCCAAAGAAAGTGCAATTCGAGAACATGTAAGTGATGTTTCTATTCCGGAAGAAATAGTTGTTTCTCTTGGCCATAATATAGGCGAAAATATGATACGTACTTCCTCGACTGTTACAGAAGGTTTTACTACTGTAACAAATAGATATGTAACAAGAATAAGAAAACGGATTATAAGGCATATACAAGTTATTGATGGAAATGAACATGTCACCGAAGAAGTTGTAGAAGAACCGGAAGAAGTTATTGCCGAACCCTCAACCTACACAATACAAGAAGAGGGAGTTAAAACTAGACGCATAAGAATAATAAGGAATGTTCAGATAATTGATGGTAAAGAACATGTAACGGAACAAATCGTTGAAGATTCAGATGATGAATACATTCCGGATTCTACAGTCACAGCTAATATAGATGTCAAAATTGGTCCATGTGAAAAACTTACAGAAACAGAAACAGTTGAGATCAAGGAACCAGTAAAGGAAATATTACAAGAGAAACATAAACCACAAGAAATCTCGCCACTTGAAATATCAAAAGGATTTATAGACCGCGAAAAAGAACATACTGTTTCTACGATAACATCTACAACAGTTACAAAAGAAGATATCACAGATACGACAACTAAACCTGAATCAGTTTCAGAAAATAAAATTCCTGAAATCAAAGAAATTGTATCTCCCGCTCCAACTGACTCAGATACTGCAATTTCAACTATTGTTCAAGAGAAGATAAGTGTTGATGTTCCTGACTCGCCGAGCAAAATAGATTTATGTGTTACAGACATTTTATCATCTAGTAATATCAAACTTGACTCAGTTGTAAAAACAGAAGAGGACGTTTCAAGTGAAATTAAATCTGTTCCGCAAGTCGTAACTAAGACATGTGATTCTGAAATCGATATAATTCCTCAACTTTCTGAAGCTGAAATACCAACCGCAGTACCAGCAACTATACCTGAACGTCAACTTTCCGAAGCTGAAATACCAACCGCAGTACCAGCAACTATAACTGAACGTCAACTTTCCCAAGCTGAAATACTAACCGCAGTACCAGCAACTATACCTGAACGTCAACTTTCCGAAGCTGAAATACCAACTGCAGTACCAGCAACTTTACCTGAACGTCAACTTTCCGAAGCTGAAATACCAAC